GTGTAGCATGAAACAATGATGAATTCATCACGGTATGAGCTATAAAGTGCCATCAGTAATATGGTATTCACATATTGTGCTAAACCAGCTGTTTGTTTATTCAATTTTTATGCCGCCTATCGCACTGTTACAGCAACTCTGGGAAGCAGTTTTTCGTTTTACTTTCTTCCATTAACTGTATGGTTCCTTGAGTATAGCTGGATTCATACATCATGACATTTAAAGCAATGTTTCTCAACCTTGGTGACTTGAAGATATGTGGACTTCAATTCCCAGAAATCCCCAGCCAGCCATTTTGGGGACATTCTTGGACAGAAAGTATTTGTCTGTCTAGAGTTATTTTTGTCCTATCCCACAGTAGGTGTGCAAGTTCAGCTCCACGGCCCTGTGTGACACCACCCCCACAAAGGAAGCCCATTATCTCTGGATAAAATGAAACTAGGAATGGAACTGATTTAGCTGTAAAACATAAGGTATTGCCTACAAATAGTGGAATCTTAGGCTTGGCACCCTATTATTATTCCATCAATGTGTCAACATTTCTAGTTAAGTGAGCAAAAATTGTAAAGCTACGTTAAAAATTAATTAGAAATAGAATAGAATAGAATAGAGCTGGAAGGGACCTTGGAGGTCTTCTAGTCCAGCTCCCTGCTCAAGCAGAAAACCTATGCCATTTCAGACAAGTGACTGTCTAGCCCAGGGTTAGGCAACCTTGGCTCTTTTATGATTCGTGGACTTCAACTGCCAGAATTCCTGAGCCAGCATTGCTCAGCTTGGAAACCTCCCTTTCTCCTCAGCATGGCTGGCTCAGGAATTCTGGGAGTTAAAGTCCACGTGTCATAAAAGAGCCAAGGTTGCCTATCGCTGGTCTAGCCTCTTCTTAAAAACCTCCAGTGTACATACAAACAACAGAGTGATGAGTCATAGATCATAAGATACAAAAACAATTGATAAATCATAATATACCATTAGGAGAAGGTAGGAAAGATGAGAGGTAAGAAAGATGAGAAGGTGAAAAAGATAATAGCAATACACCCTCCTACATGGGTAAATATCTTTAGGCATAAGACAGTGCTGTGGGAGTACAGGTAAATACAGATAGTTCTTGGCTTACAATCACTTTAGGCAAGAAAAACCAAATGCACAAGTACAGCATAGGTGGCACCTTGCTCAATAGTAGTAACTGTGAGAGGGACCTCGGAATCCTAGTAGACAATCACCTAAATATGAGCCAGCAGTGTGCTGCAGCTGCCAAAAAGGCCAACACAGTGCTAGGCTGCATTAACAGAGGGATAGAATCAAGATCACGTGAAGTGTTAATGCCACTTTACAATGCCTTGGTAAGGCCACACTTGGAATACTGCATCCAGTTTTGGTCACCGCGATGTAAAAAAGATGTTGAGACTCTACAAAAAGTACAGAGAAGAGCAACAAAGATGATTAGGGGACTGGAGGCTAAAGCATATAAGGAACGGCTGCTGGAATTGGGTATGTCTAGTTTAATGAAGAGAAGGATGAGGAGGGACATGATAGCAGTGTTCCAATATCTCAGGGGCTGCCACAAAGAAGAGAGAGTCAAGCTATTTTCCAAAGCGCCTGAAGGCAGGACAAGAAGCAATGGATGGAAACTTACCAAAGAGAGAAGCAACCTAGAACTAAGGAGAAACTTCCTGACAGTGAGAACAATTAACCAATGGAACAACCTGCCTCCAGAAGCGGTGAATGCTCCAACACTGGAAGTTTTTAAGAAGAGACTGGACAGCCATTTGTCCGAAATGGTATAGGGTTTCCTGCCTGAGCAGGGGGTTGGACTAGATGACCTCCAAGGTC